CACACACACTCACACACACACACACTCGAGGCAAAGAGGAAGCAGACTGGGGAGAATTTGGCAGCTCTCATCCTCCTGCTGCGACATCATATGCAGTGGAAGCTAACAGAACACACATGGAGTAAATGCAGTGATTTATGAACAAGATTCTGAAATGCTGGACACACACACACACACACTCTCTCACACACACACACACACACACACACACACACGTGCGCACTCACACACACACACACTCACACACACACACACACACACACACACACACGCGCGCACACAGAGTGTGTGTCATCCATCTGTTACCTCCAATTTTCTCTAGTAATTAAAAAATCTGCCGTTTCAAGAATGAAGTTTATGTTCATGTCCAGCACTCCAGCTCTGTGGGGACCAATCTCAGGTTTTAACCTTTGGAGCGAGGACATTAATGCAAAATAGGGACATCAAGCAAAAGTAATGAATTGGGTTTTTTTCGTTGAATGGGGAAAGTTTTGGGGGAAAAAATATTTTTTTGGAAACTTTGAAAAAATGTCTTACTGGGAGACTTCAACGCTTATCTGGTCAACAACAGTGAGACATGGAGGGGCGTGACTGGGAGGAATGGCCTCCCAGGTCTGACCCCAGTGGTGTTCTGGTACTGGATTCCCGTGCAAACCACAGTTTGTGCATAAAAACACCATGTTGGTGTCCATAAGTGCACGTGGCACCAGGACACCTAGGCAGCAGGTCAATTTTGAGATGGTATCATCAGATCTGATTGCGATGGAAGGTGCCTAAACATATGAGCACCTTTCCCATAAGTACCTACTCGATCGACTCACCACAGCTCAACTCAGATCGAGTGATTTTACATTGCATACGACACGAACGCTACAACAAAGGTGGACATTGAGGCAAGAATATACCTGCTGCTCGGTCTGTGGCTTTTCGCCAGACTTGGGGTCCATAGCGTCGTTTCTTGGAGCCATTTCCCTCATTGCCGAGTTTCAAAAATGGCAGTTTTGATTTTCATGAACGAGATGCTCTCATGACTTATTGAGTGATGCCACTGACCAGCCAATTGGCAGCATACAGTCTGACGACATCACATTTTAGTACCTGCTTGAATCGCTTTGGAACCCCGGGCGACCAGGTACTAAAATAGCACCTGGTACCAGAAACTACACCCAATGGAAAATCCTGAAAACTGTGGTGAACCGAGGAAAGTCAGTCCGAGTAGGGGCTTAAGTATGTGTGCGTTGGGAACTCCTGGCAGAGTTGAGATCTTCAACTTCCACCTCTGGAAGCTTTGACAGCATTCCAAGGGAGACTGGGGACATTGAGTCTGAATGGGCCATGGTCAGCACCTACACTGCTGAAGCTGCTGCGCTACGGCTACAAGGAGGTTGGTGCCTGTCGTGGTGGTAACCCCCTCACAGGTGAGGGGAACGGCTGAAGAAGAAGCACTATCCCGCTGGGATGCCCTGTGGGACTTTGGAGGCAGCCAATAGGACCGGCATGGCTGTGGATGTTTTAGGGCTGTAATGGTTGACACGCCTCTACAATGTTGCGTGGAGATCAGGAGCGGTACCTCTGGATTGGCAGGCTGGGGTGGTGATCTTTAAGAAGTGGGACTGGAGGGTGTGGGGGATCACACTCCTCAGCCTCCCTGGGAGAGTCCACGCCAGGATGCTAGATAGTCCGTCTCTCTGAGGGTTCTGTGGGAGGTGCTTCGGGAGTAATGGGTGTCCTTATACAGCTGTTCAAAGAGCTGGATCCACAAAGCCGGCAATAAGTAGAACTCGTTCCTGGTGGGTGTTGAACTCCGCCAGGCCTTCCCTTTGTCACCCCTTCTGTTCATAATTTGTATGGACAGAACTTTTAGCCGTAGCCATGTGGAGGAAGGCTTCCACTTGGTCGGTGTCAGAATCGTCTCTGCTTCTTGCAGATAACGTGGTTCTGTTGGCTTCATCAGGCGGTGGCCTCCAGCATGCACTGGAATGGTTCGCAGCCGAGTGTAAAGCCATGGGAGACCCAGGAGAGATTACATCTCGGCTGGCCTGGAAACGCCTTGGTGTTGGAGGAGGAGGTTGCCTGATGAGAGGGTGGTCTGGGCCTCTCTGCTTCAGCTGCCCCGCGAACCGGCCTCAGACAAGAGGAAAAAAATTGGATAGATGGAGAAATGATGGAAACAACTTTCCATCATTCCTCCAATCTGTCATGGCTAACAGATGGATTCAAGCGCAGACAGCGTTCTGGCAAAAAGGTGACAATTTATTAACACGAGTGAAACCACATTGATTTGTATGGACAGTGAGTGGGGTAGGTGTCCAGGGGATGGAGGGGAGGGAAATCCTGAATCCTTCTGGCCTCACTACAGCACAGGACACTTTAACACCCTCCTCACGCAACGTACACAAGCTGTAAATTTCCAGATTGTTTTATTTAAGGCTGCTCCGTGCAGATTAAAACATTAACAACATTATTACTGCCAAAATGCTAACGAGACCAAAACCAGTGGGTGATGTCATGGTGACTACATCCATCTTTTATATACAGGCCATGCTTCACTCACTGCCCTCATCATAAAGAACATAATTACTGGGTTTACATGAAACCACGGTCCACGGGCAGGGTGCTAACATCGCTGCGCATGAATGTCCTCGTGTAATAATGGAGTCCAACAGGAATGCAAGTCTTTACTTTGTGCCTCTGGAGGACATCGTTTACTGTAATTTGTGCTCACAGTAGCGCGACACGCTGTCCAACAACACAGTCTGACCATCAGAGCAGAGTGGCTCAGAACTGGGACACTCTGGCTGGTAAAATTAGACTCCTGGATGGTTTCCAGTGTAGAGTGTCCACTAAGTGTGGAGATGAGTGTGAGTGTGTGTCTGTGTGTGTGTCTGTGTGTGTGTGTGGTGTATGGTTTGGTAACTAATGGATCCCAGCGTGAGCTCTCTTCCCTCCAGCTGTGGCTTCAGGGGGGCCCGAGGGGCTCTGAGAGGCCCCCCGTCTTAAAGGCTGACTTCCATCTCTAATGAAGGAGCATGTCAGCCCGCTCTCCTCCGCCCGCCTGCTCGCTCTCCAGAAAAGGCAGCATAATGGAAGAAAGTCCCTCGCTGTGCACAAGCTGTGCAGCCTGGCAGCGCGCGGCGGAACAAAAGAGCAGCGGCCGGTCCCGCTTCTTCCCAGACCAAAGGTTTTTGTGCTCCCTGAGAAACGACACTCACATTTGCACCGACGGCTGCTTCCTGCTTTGTTTGACGGTTATGTAATAATAACATAACGTCTCCATCTCGAAGCTGGAGGCTGCGCTGAAAGCTGCGGCAGAGCCGGTAAAATGCCACGCTCAGACAAAGGATGTTAAAAGCACTTCAGCTTATTCAGGAGCACCAACGACTCACACCTCCAACGACTTTTACTGACAAGTAGACACAGTTTCCGAAACAGGCGGAACCTGGATCAGATTAATAACAGTAATGATGTCCAGGTGATTTATCTGCATGCAAACACAGTGTGAGTGTGGAAGGCTAAGTGACTCCAGCCTGGAAACCTGATCAAATCCTCCCTCAGAGGATTAAAGGCTGTCAGCTTAATTCAGCTGTGCAGGTTTGTTAAATATGCAGGCAGCGCCGAAGCTGGCAGTCGTGATCTGCGCCCTGCTGTGACTTACTGCAGGCAGCCAGGACACGTCTGAGCAGCTAACGTTGCTGAAAACCTGCTTTTATACCAGGACAGACGACAGAGACGCAAAGTAGACTTCAGAATATTTTAAAGTGTTCTTAGAGTTTGACTCGATACAGTGCTCAGCACCTCAGGTGCACACTGAAGTGGCTCAAATGGATATTTTGAGTTATGTTAATACTTCAGTCCTGCATTCCTTCTGATGGTCAGCAGGGGGCGTTTCCCCTGGATGTTCATTAGCATGGCCAAAGTTTCTAATAATGAAGCCACTGGATGAACAGACTGCTCTGACACTCAGTTCCACACAGTTTTTTTTACTCTTTTAACTGTATGATGTCATAGATGGGAGATATCCCAGGACCCACCCATTAGCCTTTTGTTCGCAATGGGCGGGGCTAAAATAACCTGTTTCAACTGAGGGCCTGCACCAAGGCCCAGAATCACATAAAGAATGATTATTATGAGCTGTGTGTCATGCAAAGCTGCTCTGGCAGAGTCCAAGAAGAAAAAGGTTTCACTATGAAAAACCAAAGAATAGAGAAGCTAAAGGCGCGACTGCAGAGCAGGAAGCGAACGCTCAGCTCTGCGTCCTCCTCATTTCTGCTCCTCGGGTCTGAAACTCAGATAAGGAAACGCCCCATCGGCCTTTGTTGTTATGGTGCACTTGTCGGCTAAATGTAGATATTGATTGATTTATGCAACCGAGCGGGAGCGAGAGAGGCCGAGACCCTTCAGCTCTGAATCACAACAAACAGAATGTGGGGAGGAGGAGGAGGAGGAGGAAGAGGAGGAGGAG